ATATACCACACTGATGAAACAATCCACTACCAGTAAAGTAACTGTAGTACAGTAAAAAGTACAATAGTTACCTCTGAGATGTAGTACATGTAGATGTAGTAAGGCACATGGAGTTTGTTTACCTCAAACCTATTTTTCTCCCTGCGTCATCCGTCTGTTCCTGCTGCCAAGGACAAGAGACAAGAGGAGTCTAAAGAAGAGATAACCACACAGCATCGCCATGGAGACCTTACGGGAAGGATGCCCCCACCTAGCGACAGCCAAAAGGAGGAGTCTCCAACCTCATCATCAGGGACCGCCTCTGATCTCCCACTTCCCCCACCCTTCCGAGACGAGGAGTCTTTACCTCCCTCCCCAGCACCTACTTCCACCCCCCAAACTCCATCCAGGTCCCTTTCCTCTCTCACACTCTCCCCATCCTCCCCCCACCTGGAGTTCACTGACCACATGAAATAGCTGGTCAGTTAGCTTTTTACTTGGTTACTCAGCTTTATTAAATGTCAGGTCTCTGTCAGGAAAAACATTTTAAATCAATGATTTTATTGTTCGGCACAAACTGGACATTTTGTTTTTAACTGAAACATGGTTAAATCAAGATAACAGTGCAGCTGTTCTTATTGAATCAACACCTCACAACTGTGAGGTGTTGAATCAACACCTCACAATAGCAACCTCACAAGTTGCTATTTTATTTAATGATTCTCTTCATAAAGCAGATGTCCTTTGGTCATTTTAGTTCTTTTGAATATGTGGCTCTGAATTCCACTCAAGCTTTATTCCTAAACATTTACAGACCGCCTAAATACTGCGCAACCTTCTTTGATGAGTTTACTGAACTGCTGTCTATAATCTGTATTGATTTTTACTGTGTTGTTATTGTTGGTGATTTTAATATCCATGTTGATAATCCCCAGGACAGAGGGTCTATAGAACTATGTGGTGTCCTTGATAACTATGATCTGACTCAGCATGTGACAGGACCCACCCACAACAGGGGGCACACTCTGGACCTAATCATCACCAAAGGTGTAAACATTTCCAAGGTCGCTGTGACTGATGTTGCACTCTCTGATCATTTCTGTGTTTTCTTTGAGAGTGCAATCTCCTTGCACACAAATGTCCAAACCGAGGTTGTGACAAAGCGTTACATCTCTGAAAACACCAGTGAACTATTTATTCAGAAGTTCTGCTCCTCACCAGCCCTCTCTGCATCTCAGTCAATGAGCTTGTAGATGGCTTCAATTCTAAAGTTATGAATATTATTGATGCCATTGCACCCACTAAAGTGAAGGTTGTCTCGGGTAAGCAAAGATCTCCTTGGAGAAATGCTACGCTGGTCAGAATAGAGAAACGAGAGTGTCGGAAAGCTGAGCACAGGTTGTGAAAAACTAATCTCCAGATTCACTGTGACATCTATAAAGAGAGACTTAACAATTATAATTTGGAACTTAGAAATGCAAGGCAGTCCTTCTTCTCTGACATCATAACCAAAAACAATAACAATACACGCGCCTTATTTGCTACCATCGACAGGCTAACAAACCCTCCAGTGTCGGTAGCTGCTGAGCTCCAATCCACCTGGCATGCAATCAAGCGGTCAGTGCCTCCACACCAACCACAGGATATGTGTTGTCATCATCTCTGGATAACAACCATTCAAATATCATGACACAATTTCATTCAATTGACCGTAGAAGCCTAGAAGACATTATATAACATCTGAAGTCATCCTCCTGCTGCTTGGATATTCTACAAACACACTTTTTCAAAAATATTTCAAACTGCATGACCACTGATCTTTTACAAATAGTAAACACATCCCTTCTCTCAGGTGTCTTCCCACAAGCCCTAAAACCTGCAGTTATTAAACCGCTCCTAAAGAAGGCTAATTTAGACTCCACAACAATGATAGGCCAACATCACACCTCCCATTGTTAAGTAAAATAATTTATAAAAGAAAAAGTACTCGCGAGCGAGCAGAAGAGCAGTGATAGAAGGGAACGCCAAAGAGGTTCTGTGTAACTCATTAACACATCATCTGTCATATTAAACGTTAACTTATGTAAGTACTACCGAGTACATGAACATGTAGTATTACAACTAATGATGTATTAGTACTACAGAGTACATGAACATAAAGTAGTACTCACCGATGATGAAGTTCTGAACTGAAGACAGAAATACTTCGACTCTTTCGGCTTCGGTCAATATTTAGTTTCCACGTTTCTGCAGAAGAAGCTGAATCACTCAGATTAATTAATAATAATAATAATGAAGGAGGAAGACTTGTCTCTGGTGAGTTTTCCTTCATTAACACTTTATTTGATTTGATGACATCATTCTGCAGCAGTCCAAGTTTGTATTTAAATGTTTAAACTGAGACTGAAGTCTTTGATGTGTAGACGTGTTTAGATGCCAATAATAAAAAAAAAAGGACAAAGTTTACATGCAAAGTTCACGTGAAAGAAAAACAGCCAAACAATAAAATAAAGACTTTTGCTCACGAGATGAAAATAGATTCACTCAAACGTCTTCAGACCGACTGATGACAGAACTCAATAACAGACGAGGATATTGATCTATTGATGCATTGATTTAGGTGAACACAAACATTCGTGTCAGTCTCGGTGTGAAACGTTTAAACGTGAAAAATCATCAACAAATTAATTATTTTAATTATTTTATTTAGTTGTGTGTAAAGGTCACTAGAGGTCATGTACAGAATGTTAGGACTTCATAAAACACATGTTTATTATCGATTATTTAATAACGTGTCATTTCTTCTTTAAGGCAACATGTACAGCTACAAGCAGGGGGCGGGGCCTGAGGCCTGTGGGCGGGGCCTCACAGTTTGGCCTTGTTCATGCGGCTCATGAGCTTCTCCAGTTTGAGGGCGAGCGTCATGTCTCCTTTGATCCTCAGCTTCCCCGACATGAAGGCCAGCGTGGGCTTCAGCTTCCCTGAGAACAACAAACAGCTGTTACAGCAGGAGCCCACATGAGGTCATCGCTGTCAGCGTTACCGTGGTAACCGCTCACCTGCAAACATCTTGCTGAAGTCGCCGGAGTCCATGGTCATGACAACATCGGCTTTGACGGGCGACTGGCCCTGACCGGCGCGACCGGAACCACTCTTCAGGTCCAGAAACCACAAGCCCTCATGTTCTCCTTATATGGACATACACATGGTTACATTAGTGACACGCCCACAACACCTCCTTATATGGACATGTTTACATTAGTGACACGCCCACAACACCTCCTTATATGGACATGTTTACATTAGTGACACGCCCACAACACCTCCTTATATGGACATAATCCTATAATTCCTAACAGACTAACCTGATAGGTCGAACTGATAAATGCCCTGCGTAGACTTGACCACGTCTTCACTGAGGACTCCTCTGATGGCGGTGAATGTGCCTTCTATGGGTCCACCGGAGGAGGAAGGCCTGGCTGATGATGAAGATGATGATGGTGGTTTGAAGGCTGGTGTTGCTCCTAGCAACGAGAATACAAAAACGGGTCAATTCATTAGAAGACGTAAACATCAAATATACACTTTTGGATGAAAAACTGCATTTCACAAATATAGTATAATATACTTACTTTATAATGTTGAATGTTTTGATTATTTTTTAAATCTGTTTAACCTTTCAACAGTATCTGAAACAGTATTTGTAATATTACAAATAGTAACAGTAGTATTATATATAACACTAGTATTATATGTACTAGTATGATTACAGTATTTAAAAATAGCAGTGTAAATGTTGTAATAGTATAATTTGAAATACTGAAAGTAGTGTTTGTGTTGTTTTCAGGGTCAAACTGATTTCAATAGTATAACAGTATTACCAGCTAGCAGTAGTATTTACAGTATTTGTAGTATTTACCGTGTTGCTCCATCTGTCCGACCAGATTCTCTGGTGCTTCGTCCAGGAAGAAGTCCGGCAGCAGTGGGTGACCTGTTGACCAATCAGAGACCGCCATGAGTACCACATGACAGAGAGTGGGAAGCACCGACTACCCATGCTAGGTTAGCGTAAGCATCAGTTAGCATGATGTCACCTGGTTGGACGGCGTACTGTTCGAAATCCTGGACTCCCTGCTCCTTCAGGATGTCCTCGTCAATCAGGAAGTGACCCGTGTAGTCCTTCGGTCGGGTCAGGACAGCGTAGGCGGCATCCGCCACGATGTCAGACGTACGACACTGTTTACTGATGCCCTCGCCCCCCAACATATCCATCGCTGCCGTCTGGATCGCTACAGCAACACACAGGTCAGAACAGGGTTAGCGTCATGGAGAGGCTGTTAGACTCTCATATTAAACTAGCATGCTGTGAGGATACTGTTAGCATGCTCGTTTAATATGAGAGTCCGAGGACTCTGTTAGCATGCTAGTTTAATATGAAAGTCTATGAGGACTCTGTTAGCATGCTAACATTTAGCCACTGACCAGTTTTAGGCCAGAGGGCGTTAATGGCAATTTGACCTCTGAACTCTTCTGCCATTCCAAGGACACACATGGACATGCCGTACTTCGCCATCGTGTACGCTGAAAGAAAAGGGAAACATGTTCAGGATAAACAGAACAGAACAGGTGCATGATGGGATGCTGGCTGGTCGGTTGCTATGGTTACCTGTGTGGTTCTTAAACCAAACGGGGTTGAGGTTGAGCGGAGGAGACAAGTTCAGGATGTGAGGACTACGACTCTTCAGCAGGTGAGGGATGACCAGCTTAGACCTGAAACACACAAACACTCGCTAGCTGGAGCTCGCTAGCAGCACTTGAACTGTAATAAACTAGCTAACATCAACTTGCTACAGTTTGTTTACAGAAGCTCAGTAACATAAACTTGTTAATGTCGGTACATTAACTGAATGTTTTTAACAACCAGCTCATCGCAGAATGATCTCCTGGTCTCTGTTCAGAACGTGGTTTACGGGGACATCCCGACATGATGCAGATAATGGTTCTCATGGTGATGTCATGTCACCTCTAATCTAAGTCTGTACTACAGCTCAGTCAGTTTCTATACAGTCTAACTGACAGGTGTCTGGGTCATATGGTTTACGGGGACATCGCAATGCCACCAATGGTACAGATGTGTGTGTTTCAGTAACTTGTGTGTGTGTGTGTGTGTGTGTGTGTGAGTTTCAGTAACTTGTGTGTGTGTGAGTTTCAATAACTTGTGTATGTGTGTGTGTGTGTGCGTGCGTCCTACGTCAGGTAAGTCCCTCTCAGGTTGATTCCCAGCATCAGGTCCACCTTCTTAAGGGGCGTCTCCAGAGTTCCTGTCAGACTGATGGCGCTGGCGTTGTTCACCAGGATGTCGATTCCTGACCAATCAGACGCATGATAATGATGATGTCACCGCTGTCAGTCTGAGCTGATCCCTCACCAGCTTCCCACCCACCGACACACCTTTCCAACTGGACCTTTTATTACCTCTAACACCTTAAAGAAACCTTCACTTTCTTCAATAAAAACTGTTCATTCATATTTACAGCAGATTTGTATAAATATTATTTTTAAATAAAGTTCTACAGAAGAAATAAAAAGAAACTGTACCGAAAAAAAGCTGTATTTAAGCTTTTTACAAATTGTTTTAAACTATTTCAGTAATTTTTTTAAATAAAAATGTGAAGTACATCTTGAGAAATATTAAGAAAATGTTTAAAACTATGAACGTCCTCCGGTCAGTATTTCTAAGTATTACATAAACACTGAACTTGTTATTATTCAACATTTTACTAAAATTATCCTCATTTAGTGTAATGTTCTGTTCTTTAAACATTTAATATCTAAACAGACTGTTTTAATGTTTTTATTCAACACTGTAAAAAATGTCGTTTACCTCCAAACTTGTCGACAGCTTTCTGAAGAGCGTCTTCGATCTGCACCTCATCACGGATGTCGACAACACAAGCCAACGCTTTCCCTCCTGCTGCCTCCACTATCACACACGCACACACACACACACACACACACACACTTTACATTTGACTCTGTTTTTACAGATAATAATCCTTTATCAGTCCAACGGTTTACAGCAGCAAAGCTGACGGTGCAACAAGAGACATCAGTAGAAACCAAAACAAACAGTAGTTTTGTATTACAGAGTATTTATATCTCTGTAACATGAAGTCCTGCTCCTCTACTGAAACAGACCCACCGTGACTAGAAGTAGAACATGAACGTGTCTCTAGTGCAGAATAACAGTTATGACGACATCAATCATAACAAAGAAAACAAGTTGAATTTCTTTGATACATTTTACAAAAACATTTGAATCTATTTATACAAATTTTTTCCAAGTTTCTCCAAAATGGAGTCTCTACATGTTATAAATATTAAACTATTGTTAGAATGTTTTAGCCTCCCCCCTCCCCTTCCCTCCTCTCCTAACTTCTCTGCTCTCTCCTCCCCTCCTCCGTGTTATACACAATCTGCCTGTTAGCGCCTCACCCTCCTGCGCGGCGGTGTAGATGGTTCCCGGTAGTTTTGGGTGGGGTTCGGCGGTCTTGGCGGCGATGACGATGTTGGCTCCGTCTCTGGCGGCCTTCAGAGCGATGGCTTTACCGATCCCTCGACTCGCTCCAGTGATGAAGAGCGTGCAGCCGGCTAACTTCCTGAAAAACACGGAGAAAAACAAAAAAAACTTAGCCAACATGCTAACACACAGCTAATTCCAGCTGAGAGCTAAACTAGCTCCATGGACTCAATGGCATGCTAGCGGTATCAACCCCTGTTGCCACTCTTTGCGCTAAGCTAGGCTAACATTGTCTCACTCAGGTTTGAGGAAGTTTTATTTTATAAGTAAAAAAATTAATACAATTTAAATAAAACCAAATTTCAAACTTGTGCACTTTTTAACAGCTGTGAATTTATTGCAAAATATTGGTTAGAGTTCAAATCTGTCTTTTAAAGTTGTCGTGTATTTTGAAATTAATTTACTTCAAAAAAAATAAAGTGAATCAGCGTGTAGCCCCGCCCCTAAAGCATCACCTGCTTTATGGTCTATTAGAGACCTGTCAATCATATATCAGATATATATCAATATATATATATATATATCAATCAGATATGCAGGGGTGTCAAACTCAATCCCAGGGAGGGACCACATTGAGGGCCAAATAGGGTCAACATTTAATAAACAGGTTAGAAGGGATATTGGACAAATAGGCTACATTATTTTATGCATATGTACCAGAGCCAGATGTTTGGCATCTTTTCTTGGCTGCCAGTTCATAAATATCTGGGGTTAGGTTCTGTGGAAACCATCACGATGGAGTGAAGGTGCATCAGTGAGACTCCTGTGTGAGTTTGTGTTCCTCTTCATCACAGATAACAGCTGCTCACACAGGTATGTGCTTCCAAACATGGAGGGCATTTGAGCAGCATGTAGGCGGAGTTAAGGCATCGTTTTGGGGATGAAGGTTGGAAACTGTGAAGCACCCTCAGAGTCATACTTTACCTTGAGAGTGTCATTACCCTGGAGGTCTATCAGCTCCATTTGGATGTGCACAGTGTGCTCTTTCTACGTCAACTGCAAACGGATTGCTGAGCAGTTCAAATTTAAATTTCTGAGCTGCAAAGTCGGCAAATCGCAGAGTGAACTCTGTGCCAAGTGCACCCAGTTTATCAGCAAAATGCGCAGTGGGGAACACAGCGGTGGAGACACAGTTTGTCAACACGGACAGTGACCCAAGTTTCCTTTCTGCATCTGAGTGGAGCTTTAGCGCAGTGAGATGCTTCCTCATGTCGCACAAAAAGGCCAGCTCACATCGCCACTTTTCTTCCCGGAGCTCTGTGGTGTGGCGGGCTAGTTATGATAGACATATGATTCTCGCGGGCCGGATATAATTGTACCGAGGTTCGGAATATTTGAGTTTGACATGTCTGATATATGCTGACAATTTAATGACAAGTCTCAATGTGTTGATCCTTACGAGGCTTTTCATCTGGGTTATTTTGTCCAGGGCCCAGTTCAGAGTCTGCATTTTTCCTTTTCAAATATTTCTCCATCTCTGTTCGTCTTGTCACCGCAACCTCTCCCGCACGTCATTTCATTCTACGGTTTTAAATTAACAAGGTCATTATTGCGCTACCTACTGCCACCCACTGTCACGGAAGAGTATTTATTACTTAGTCAGCCACTATATTGCAGCTCAGATGCTCAACAATGGCAAATTATTTACAACAAATAAATAATATTAATTTGACCGATTAAGTGAAATTGGACATTTTCCCACGGCACACCTGACGATCTCTCACAGCACACTGGTGTGCCGCGGCACAGCGGTTGAAAATCACTGTATTAGAGACCTGTCAATCACTGTGTAGCCTCGCCCTAAAGCATCCCCTGCTTTATGGTCTATTAGAGACCTGTCAATCACCATGTAGCCCCGCCCTGAAGCATCCCCTGCTTTATGGTCTATTAGAGACCTGTCAATCACCGTGTAGCCCCGCCCTAAAGCATCCCCTGCTTTATGGTCTATTAGAGACCTGTCAATCACCGTGTAGCCCCGCCCTAAAGCATCCCCTGCTTTATGGTCTATTAGAGACCTGTCAATCACCGTGTATCCCTGCCCTAAAGCATCCCCTGCTTTATGGTATATTAGAGACCTGTCAATCACCGTGTAGCCCCGCCCTAAAGCATCCCCTGCTTTATGGTCTGTTTGACTCTAAATGGACCATAATGTACTAAATGAACATCATGCTGTATTGAAGAAGACTTGAAACTAGAGATTGAGATAATATGACTGTGAGGTACAATTGTTTTTACAATTTTAAAAAATGCAAAATGTTGACAAAAGCCCAAATGTCATCTACCAGACAAACTATTTTTCACAGCACAGCTTTATCCATCATGGCCCTGATCACATTAATAGTTTATATTTAAATCTGTGAAATAGTACAGTTGTGACATCACTACTGTACTCGTTAAGAGTATTGCGTATTTCAATACTTTCACAGTATTTATACAATGTTTACATCTGCTTTATATTAAAAAACAAGACACTTTTACATCACTTCTTAAAACACTGTTGTATAGACTGGCTTTAATGTTTGATCTTTATTTGTTGATTTTAATTAATTATTTTACAAAATGATTTTATTTAATTCTTAGTTTATTTGGACTCTTCTTTCTGTTGTTATTGCCTCACTCTGTCTGTCTGTCTAAACACTTTGTAAACTCTGTTTTTAAAGGTGATGTATAAATAAAGTTATTATTATTATGTTATAATCTGTATTTTGGAGCAGAACACTCAATAAGAACAGTTTAAACAACATGATCGCTCATTGGAGCTGACGTCACCAGACGTCATAGAAGGAAACGTAACTTTTATAAAGAGTTGTTTAAAGTTCAAAGAGCAGACCGACCAACACCGATCTACGTCACGGTTCTGAAGCGAGTGAGTCTCCAGCCCCGTTCGGCTCGGGTTCAGTCCCAATAGACCACGTGTTTACTTTACTTAAACTCTATTGTCTGACTGGTTCTGTTTGAAGGTCTGTCGTCGGTTAGATAATGACAACTGGAACGCACGAAAGAGCTCCGTAGAGAGAACCTTCATTTCTCAACGTGTGTTGCTCAAAGGTCAAAACCGGACCGGACCGGAACCAAACTACTCGTGTTTCTGAAGCAGAAACCCTCACTTCACAATTCGGCGTCAGTAAAATCACAAACTAAAGGTGCTTAAGTGGCTAAATCTTAACTAATCACCGAGATGTTTCTGGTTTTCTGAACGCTTTGGTTAAAATGGAGTTCTGTATTTTGGGTCAACGGACATGTCGCGAGCTTCCTCGCGTGCACTCACCCAGTGTTCTGCAGCATGGTCGATTCTGTGATGTTGGACTGAAGGTGAGTTCACTTTAAAAAATGACAGTCTGTCGTCTTCTCCACCTTTCACCCACTTAAAGATACCCCACTCAACCGGAAGTCGAAGAGCAACTGCTCCGCTCCACTTCCGGTCTGCAGATCAAAGATGATATGAGACGAAGAGATGACTCACTCCTCGGTTGTTAATCTTCACATCGTGATTTGTGTGATTGTTGTGATTGAATCCATACCGGAAGTGTTTTTGTTATATTTACCAACATGTACTTCATAACATTTCTTTTATTTTGGCACAGACGACATTTCCACGACCTCACCATGATGAAGACCTCGACATGTGTCTGAGAGCTCCGGGATATTTACAGTCAATAAACCTTAAACAGTGAAAATATTTTGTCAAACATGTAGTTTATTTTTCTTCTGATAGACTTAGATACCACACATGTTTTATATTTATAAAGGTATTCTTCTTTTCTACCTCTGTTATATACTGTCTTTATTATTACTATTGTGTAGTATGTGTGTACATTGCATACTGCACATATATATATATACCTATGTGTAAACTGTAATAAAAGGTATTGTATTTGTTACATTTACAACCATTAACTGAATTATTTCACACAGATATTTTAACTTACATAGTCCGAGTTATTGTTATATCCATTCAAATGTCCATAATGTATTATGTTTACTTATTTACTCACAAAGCAGTTTTTTAGTCATTACATACAGTATATATTTATATATATATAAATAAAATATAATTTATGAAATGATTATATATTTAAATTAATACAAATCCCTTTTTCATGCAGTTCCCGATACATAATAAATAATAATTATGAAAAACCACATAAATGACTATCAAAGATAGATTACACGTAACAATTATATTTATGTAAATGTATATATATATATAAATATAAATAAATAGGTGAATAAAATAACAGTGAGTATTGTAGGCGACACATCTTATTCTATCAAATATATATGTCTATTTTTGATGTTTTTTCTCTCCATTCAACCTGATTTATTGATTATTGTTATTATTATTATTATCGATCCCTCTGATCTGAGGCGTGTCCGCGCGAGCAGCCATGTTTTCTCCCATTACGTCACAAAACAGGAAGTGAGCTCGTTGTTCTTCGTTGGTTTTGCTGCCTGGCTGCGGTGCGGAAGGTCTCGCGGACCAAAACAACTCTTTCTCTCCTCCTCTCCTTCCTCCTTCCTCCTCGCGGACCATGGACGGGTGAGCGCGTGGACACCATCCCCTAAACCTTTCCCTATAATTCCTGCCGCCGTCTTTTCCTTCCATCCGCCCTCACGTTTCCTTGGCGACTGAACCGCACCTGCGCGAGCCTTTCGCGTCAACCCCTTCCCCCCTCCTCCTGTTTGTTGTTGTTTACTTGATTGAACACTTTCCCGCCACCGACCCCTCTCCTCCCCTCTTCTCCGCGCTCCCGTTTCCCGCTCCTCACGCGCTGTTTTGTCGCCCGTGTGTCGCTTTTTTCTGGTTTTGTTTTGGTTGAAAGTGTCGCGAGCGAAGAGTGACGATTCAGCGGCGGGGTTTGATTGGCTGAAATCACGCGATAATGATTGGCTGAAATCCCGCGATAACTGAGTACATGAATACTTTCATATTTTATATATTTATTACTTTAAAATGTTCAGAAATGTTCTCAGGTATCATGTTTAGATAATTTATGTACAATGTTTAACGGTCATTATGTGAATAAAACAATAAAAATATAAAACAATAAAAACACAAAACAATAAACAGCCTTTTTTAGTTTCCAGAGCTGAAACCATTAATCAATAAGTCGATCGAAAGATAAAGTCAGATAAATGGTTTGTTCTCTGGTAGAAATGTTATGGATCGATCAATCAATAAAATGATTCATGGCTGATGGATGATGTAATTATTTAATTTAGTTATAAAGAGATGACACATAATAAATGTGGAAGTAGAGCAGAAATATTTATTCATTAGTCGATCAAAAGAAAATTAATTAACAAGCATTTTTTATAATTAAATTCTCAAACAGAAATACCAATTATTATTTGGTTCCAGCTTTTTAAAATCTGATCTCATTTGATTAGATTTGAATTGATTAGATTTAAAAAAAAATGATATACTTACCTTTTATTTTGTTCTCTATTTTTAAACGTATTTTTCTGTTTTATCTTTTTTTTACTTGTAAACTAAATATCTTTGGGGCCTGGAACTTGTTATGTGAACCGTTGATTTAGAGCAGTAATATTTATATTATATGGTATATATACTGTGTATATATATATACTATATATAAATTAAATACAACAGCTCTGACATACATTCTACAAAGTTTATAATGAAGTCCAGGACAAAAGCAGCTCAGTGCTAAACATGTGATTTAATAAACACGTCTATAAACGTGATTATAATATTTATAATAATAAATAGGATGAACAGGTGTCCCTAATAAAGTGGTCACTTGATTATTGTTTCTCTCTTTAGGAATCAGAGTTCATTTCCTCATTCAGCTGCTCTGAGAACATGAGCACCTCCAGTCTGTCCACAGGTGAGACTCCTCCCTCTACCTCCCGCTACCTCCTCTACCTCCCGCTACCTCCCTCTACCTCCCGCTACCTCCTCTACCTCTCGCTACCTCCCACTACCTCCTCTACCTCCCTCTACCTCCCACTACCTCCCTCTACCTCCCACTACCTCCTCTACCTCCCACTACTTCCTCTACCTCCCACTTGCTCCCACTACCTCCTCTACCGCCCTCTACCTCCCACTTCCTCCAGCTACCTCCTCTACCTCCCACTAAATCCTCTACCTCCAATACCTCCCTCTACCTCCCACTAGCTCCTCTACCTCCCACTAGCTCCAGCTACCTCTACCTCCCACTACCTCCAATACCTTCCAATACCTCCCACTACCTCCAATACCTCCCACTACCTCGTCTACCTCCAATACCTCTCTCTACCTCCAATACCTCTCACTACCTCCAATACCTCTCGCTACCTCCAATACCTCCCTCTACCTCCAATACCTCCCTCTACCTCCCACTACGTCCTCTACCTCCCAATACCTCCCTCTACCTCCCACTATGTCCTCTACCTCCCTCTACCTCCAATACCTCTCTACCTCCAATACCTCTCTCTACCTCCCACTACCTCCTCTACCTCCAATACCTCTCTACCTCCAATACCTCTCTCTACCTCCCACTATCTCCTCTACCTCCTACTTCCTTCCTCTACCTCCCACTACCTCCTCTACCCCCCACTACCTCACTCTACCTCCCGCTACCTCCCACTACCTCCTCTACCCCCCACTACCTCACTCTACCTCCCGCTACCTCCCACTACCTCCTCTAGCTCCCGCTACCGCCTTCTACCTCCTTCTACCCCACTCTACCTCCTCCTTCCTCCCTCTACCTCCCACTACCTCCTCTACCCCCCACTACCTCCTCTACCTCCCACTACCTCCTCTACCTCCCTCTACCTCACTCTACCTCCCACTACCTCCCGCTACTGCCTTCTACCTCCTTCTACCCCACTCTACCTCTCTCTACCTCTCCTTAATTCTCTTTACCTCCTACCTCCCTATACCCCCTTCTACTTCCTCTACCTCTTTCTACTTCCTTCTACCTCATTCTACCGCCTTCTACCTCCCACCTCCTTCTACCTCTCTCTGCCTCCCACACTTTAAAGCTGCTGTGTATTTAATTATTCGACTCACCTGTTTGTCTGCAGTGGATGGCACCGATAGGCTGTGTGTTTTTGAGCGTGCTCAGTCCGTCCCGTCTCCGGTCCTCCAGCTGTGTCAGCTTCCTGCTGACATCTCTGAACAGGAAGTGATCGCTCTGGCGCTTCCCTTCGGCAGAGTTAGTAAGGTGTTATCACTGAAGGCCAAAAACCAGGTAACGGCTAATTGCTAACAGCTAATAGTTAACATCTAACTACTTATATTATGCTGCTTGACTTCTATGTGACGTCTATATATTGTTTTATATATTTTATGCTCAAACCTACTTTTTAAAAGATTTTTTGATACAAGAAGCTTTTTTCTTGATGTAATTTATTAATGTTTTCATTTACATTAATTGATTCTCAAAAAAACATCATGTTTTTTTAGGCGTTTTTAGAAATGGCGTCGGAGGAGGCGGCCGTTACCATGGTGAACTACTACACCTCGGCCCCGCCCACCATCAGGAACCAGCCAATCTTCATCCAGTACTCCACCCACCGCGAGCTCAAGACCGACAATCTGACCAATCAGGTGAGGAGCTGCAGCGCTCATCACAATCTATTTAAAGAGCAATCTATTAACTATAACAGACAAATCAAAGTTACCATATGGTGACATTAATATTAATATATTTTATTTTTAATAACTTAATTGATGAAAAATTAGTTAGATTTTTTAACCCACTATTGAAATTAATCGTTTGTTTGTTGTTGACAGAGAGCAGCTCTGCAGGCCGTGCAGTGCTCAGCAGTGCATTCTGGGAACATGGCGTCAGGGGGAGAGGGGCGGGGCTTAGCTCACGGTCAGAGTCCCGTCCTGAGAATCATCGTAGAGAATTTATTCTACCCGGTGACTCTGGAGGTCCTGCAGCAGGTCACTGATCAGTCTATCCATTATTATATCGTTGTTATTATCGTTGTTATTATTATTATTACTATTATCCATCCATCTTCCTCCTCTTATCCGGGGTCGGGTCGCGGTGGCAGCAGGTCAAGCAGGC